AACCCCCCCCCCCCCCACGCTACTTAGAGGCACAGATCTTGCCTCCCCAAATCTAAGATTCTGCCCGTCCCCCTTCCTGTTTCTTGCGGTCCCATTAAGGGAACTTTGTTGCCTGTTCCTTTTCACGTCACCCTGTCCAAATAAGGGACCCAAGTCTGTAAAACGGGGATGGGGGGGAACCATTTCTTTTACCCCATTGTTTTAAATATATGTTTTTAATGATTTAGCATTCCTCTTTCCTTGCTGTGTCCAGAATCCTTATAGTCTCCCGGCTGCTCCCTAATGAACCCCTTTTAGAAAGCTCCAGGGCATAATCCATGGCAGCCTCCCCCATGCCAAGAGATTTCCACCATCTTACCCTGTTCTTTCCATCAGCTGTTGCTGCTACTCCAGACTAAGGCAAGCATCCCAAAGATCATGGGCTGGAAGAGCCAGAGAGAGGGAGGGAAAAAAAATTGGCCACAATGGTTTAGGCAAGGTAGGCCAGCGGCCAGCTTGGCGAGGTTGGAAGAAAGACAAGTGACATATTTTGGGGGTAAAAAGTTTAGATAAACCTAGGAGTTAAGATGCAGAGAAGCTCTAAAATGTCCACCTGCTGAGACCATGTCTTCCTTTCTCTTTCTCTAGGTTAGGCCCTGACACCCCCTCCCCCCCCAAAGTCCTCTTGCCCTTGGTTTCGTCCTCTTGTGGCCATGCCACTGGCCCGCAGCCTGTCAGTGACCTCCCTGTCTGGGTTAGAGGACTGGGAAGATGAACTTGACCTGGATAACGCCATTCTTTTCGAAGTGGCTTGGGAGGTGGCCAATAAAGGTACGTGATGACTATTTTTAAAGAAGATCTTAGGAAAGTGGTCAGGTTTCAAAAGTTGGAGCAGGAGAGTGTTTGGGAACTGGAAAGCCTGAATTTCTTTTCTTGCGGGAAAGTGTCTGGGAACAGGTTCTGCAGAGCTATTTGCAAGCCGAAGGGTGAGAAATACTGGAAGAACTGAGGCCCAGAATTCGGGTATCACCTGGGAATGGAGTCTGTAGGACCAAAGGCTTATCTGATTGCTGGTCAAAGGGATGAGCAAGTAGAGAAGGACCAGGCCCTAGTCAACCAGTGCCTGGGCAACTAATTGAACTGTGAAGGGCATGGAGTGGAGGCAAAAGATTTTGGGAAACAAGTTGTCCATCCATCTTTAAAAAAGGTCTACTGGCATGTTGAATGCTAGAGCAAAAGACAGTTCAATTCAAAAATCCTGATTTGGGGGGAAGAAATGTCCTGTGATGTTGCAGTTTCTTCCAAGCAACATTGCTCAGCAGTTTAGGAGATCTCTTCGGCCTTGTCCCCTCCCTTTGCTGTTCTCAGATCCTCCCATCCATAAATCTTTCATATTTGGGCTACAGCAGTGCTGTCTTAGATGACAAGTACCCTTTTATAGTGAATATTTCCAGGACAGTCCACTTCAGCAGGCTGCTGTCACCATGCGTTCATTGAGAAGATCCCTTTCTGGAATCCGCTACTACACATCTGGAAGTTGAAACCCCTGAGATCCTAAAGACAGTATTTCAGGCTGCCTTTCCCTGTAGTAACATGACAACAACGAGAAGAGCGCTGTGTTCCTTAAAAAGGATGGGGATTCCTGGTAATTCTGGATATTTGCCAAATACTACCATAGAGCTGTTCTCATGTGCTTCCTTAATGACGTAGCTGCTTTTGAAATTATAGTCCTCTTGGCTTGGCCTGAGTTTTGAGCATCTGCTGTGCATACTCCAGCTATACTCTTGATATGTACTCACTACTATATAATGTACATGAAATACATACTCTCTCTCACACAAACTCCACTGCTTAAGAAACTTTTTGAAATGTTATTCATTGCTTGAGAAGCTGCATTCCTGTTTAAATATTCACCTTCAGACCAGGGTAACTGTTTCGAACGGCAGGTGGTCAGCGGACAGAATCTTCCCTGTCTAACGTCCTTGCCATATAATGAAAAAAAATACATTTTGAATATTAAGCTTTGTACTACCAGGTAGTAGAGTAGTTCATGCTACCAATCACCAAACATATGCAGGATGTGGGAAATCCAGGCTCCTCTTTAGATAGTCATGCTTCTAGTCCTCACAACACCAACAAAAAGCTTTTTTTACATGTGTGCCTTTGAGTCAGTGTTGGCTCCTGGTGATTGCCTGGACAAGTCCTTGCTTGTCCAAGTTTTTTTGGCAACGTTTTTGGAACTGGTTTACTATTACCTTTTTCCTAGGGCTGAGAGAGTGACTGGCCTATGTTACCCAGCTAGCTTCATGTCTAAGGTAGGATTAGAACTCATGGTCTATAACAAACTGTTACAGAATTGTTGGTGTCCACACAGAGCCAAGTGGATAAAAGTTATGAACTAGAATCTGTTTCATGCAGCAAATCCCACTGAGCGCAGTGAGTTTCACTTCCAAGCCAATACACATAGAATTTGTGCTGTCATTTTGCAAAAGAGAGTTGGGTCTTGAGCTATCTTTGTGTGAATATAGATACAAATATGTAAACACACATCTAAATTATATAGTTATTAGATTTTTAAATACAGCATTGCACTTTAAACATTTGATAAGGGAATTTATCAGGAATGAACATGTCAAAAAATATTCTAGTTAACCGCTTGTATCTTCAACAAAATGTTGCAATGTGGAATGCTGTTCAAGATTTTAGCCCCTTTTTTTCATACATTTCATCTATTTTTCATCTATCTTCCCAGCAAACTATCAGCATATTGGGCTTTCCCTGCAAGTGATTTTTCTACAGACTATTTTTTAATCTGCATATCTCAGGGCCTTTCCCTGAATTTACTACAGGTAAATTCTTTTTCTTGTCCGTGAGGGGGATTATTTTGTTACTAAAGATGTCACTCATGGACAAGAAAAAGGTAATACCTAGCAAAGATGATGGTCTTTGTTAGAATGTAAGATGAGCAGCTACTCAGGGCCATCTCTGCCTCTGAATAAGGGAGCTGCCTCAGTTGCGGGTTGTTCCCTGGGGTATTTCTGTCTGCCTGTTTTGTGGCCTATCCTCCATCCTTCACCCTGATGATAGTTTGCAGGACTCTCCCACAGCTTATGTTCAAGTAAGCAAGTAAGAATGAAGAGGGATATTTTTCTTTGCCTCAGGCAAGAACATTTCTTGGAGAAGCCTTGCATCTTCTGAACAGATACATCAGTACAGAGTACATTCGACATGGAATTCAGGATGAAAAATCTTGGGTGTGTGATGCAGGCACCCAGGGAGAAGCGGGACAAAGTTCAACTTATTGCTCCTTTTTTCCCTCTGGACCTTTAATTGACAACTGCAGTTCCGAGATGAGGCTTGGCCTAGGGCTATAGAGAGAGAAGCGCTGCCCTGTGATCTCTGTGTGAGATGCCTGCATTTACCTAGCTCTAAAATGCCTCAGAAAAGCATGGTGCTTGTAATTCATCTGTGGTAGGAAGGCCAGCCTGACCTAGTGGGAAATACCCCCTGATTATTGAAGGAAGCATTACAGAAGATCATCTTCTCGGGCTTGCTTGTTTGTTTTGATAAAGAGGAAAGAAGAGGCATTCTGTTGAGGATTTGTTGTCACTAGACTAATTTCTGATATTCCAGGCCTAATCTCATATATTGTAACATCTGTCATCCAAAGCCTAGAGGACATGGATGATGGTACAATTTATCTAGAGGGTGGATGGTGATACAACTTATCTAGAGGGTGTTATTGGACAGCCCTTGTTTTTTGGAGAAGAAGAGAAGGAAAAAAACTGTTGATCTGCAGGCTAACCTTTTCCCTTCCAGGAATGCTCTTCCCACTTCACAAAATGTTTTTTTCAATTTTTTTCAGAAGTTGCTTTCTGCCTGTCACCAGCACTACAAGAGTCAGTCTCACTTGCTCCGAAGGACAGGAGTAGTGAAAAGGCCTTAAGGCAACTTAAGTAAATATAAATAAATATATAGATATAGATTATCATGCGTATATTTCAACTTTCCCTGAGCTCTCCAAGAAGCTTACTTGGGGATTTTCCTTAATTTTGTGCCTACATCAAGAACCCTGTAAAGTAGGCTGGTTGGAGCATATAAGTGCAATTCCAGCCAAGAAGATATGACAGCAAAACCTGGATTATTAAGATAAATATTTTATCTAGATCAATCCAGGTAAAGTTCTCATAAATCTTGGGAGGATAGCAAACTAGATGAAAGATAAATTTGTCTGGAAGAGAGAGTTGTATCATTTGAGGGCAACCAGCTTCTGATGTTTGAAGGCAGCAGCTCTAGAAAGGTCTCTGAAGAAGAATTTAATCTGTTCTTTTTTTATTGTTATGCTATTGGAGTGCTTGACATCTTATGGACTTTGAGAAGGGAGGTTCCTGCCTTGAGTTGCTTACAATCTAAAATCTAGTATGGTGGAACCAACAGAGGAAGGGGAGAGTAGTGAAGCAATCAGGAAGCAAGATATGGTTGTTTCTAAGGCACATGCTTACTTTTTGTCACAGGATGAGTTATGGAAGAGTAACATGGGTGACTCCTTGATAGTTAGGGGCCTTGCTTAATGTTTTTTGGAGGAGAGATTAGAGTTGCAATGGGAAGGGGAACAATGTGCTGTGGGGGGCGGGCTATGCATGATTTGAGTAAGCTCAAGATTTTTGTGAATTTTTTCCTCAGGAGAGTTGTATTTTTTTTTCCTTTTTTCCTATGTTAAATCTATTTTAGATTTAATGGCAGGAAACTTCTTCTCAGTGATACATTTGGGAGAGGTTTACAAGGGCACAGAAAAGGATGTCAGAAGCTATAGATTGCCCATCCCTTCAACAAGTTATCAGTGTTAAAGGATTGTGTCAAGAACTTCATGGAAAAGATCTCCATTTCATTTCCTTGCTTCTGAGAGCAAATCCATTTGCAAAATGTCTGTAACAGTGCCGTGTTCTCTTTCTCTGAGCTAGCTCTTCTGCTATGATAATGAGGTGATCTCACAAAGAGAATCAGTGCAATCCATTAAAGAAGTCTTCCCCCACCTAGGTGTCCTCCAGAAGTGCGGACTTCAACTCCTAGACTTTCCCCAGCAGCATGGTGACGTTTGTAAATTCTGGGAGAAGTGCACGCACATATAGGGCACCAAAGTTGGAAAGGCTGTTTTAATGACTATTTGGATAAATCCTTCTAAACATACACAGTTCCTCAGCTCTGAAGACATTACTGTTTCTCACAATTCTAAACCTTCACCTCTAAGCACAGTCCAAGCTCTGTTTGGATTCATTGCAAAGTTTCAGGTTCTTGTATTCTGCAGTGCTATTTCCTAGTCACTCTTCCCTCATAGAATATTCATGTGGGTGTTTTTATTGCTTTTCCTGTACAACTCCCTGGTTGGAAAGTGAAGCAAAGAGCCAAGATTCTTAGGCTCCTCAAGAGGGGAGGAGAATTTAGTTGAGGGAGCCAGGGTCCTTGAGTGCAAAGTAAATACCGTGGTTTGTAAGTGATGGCTAGGTTTGCATGCTTTCCAGGAAGAGAGCTGGAGTTCAGCCACTTAGAAGAGGTTGAATATATGAACAAAGGTCTTTATTATTATTATATATAATTCCTCAAAAATTCCTGACCTAGTAAGGGGGCTAAGAACTCTATTCCTCTTGCAGCAATCTTCTGCTTCTGTGCTGGGTATGACAAATAACAGCTTGGCTGCTTCCATAATCCATTTGGCTTTTAAGTGGTGTACAGGCATGACAAAACTATGGCTCATTTAGAGGACTGGTACATCAAGAGTTTCAGTTTGATCATAATACTCCATTTTTGCTTTGTGGTGAATTATTGGTCATTTTACCTGGTCCTGTCAATTGTCTCAAAAATAAATGCAATGTTAAAATAACAATCTAAAACAATTGCATGTGAAGCACAGAGTCTAAAAATGGGAGACCTAGAGTGAAGAAAGAATTGTAAAGGCTTGCATGAATAACCAAGATATTTATCTGGACCAAAAAGATCATAAAGATGGCAGTAGGTGAACCTCTCTGGAAAGTCTATTTCATGATCAGAGTACCATCACCACCAAAAGGCCAAATCAATCATCTTGATACTCTCCTACCACTTTGCTCATTTAGGAAGGTCACACAGAAGTAAGATGCCAAAGAAGATCATAAGATCATAAGGAGAATGCAGCCTTCAGGACTTCAAGGTTCAAATCAGTCCTTTAAAAGGAGTCTGGAAACAGACTAGTGGCAGAGATTCTGACAAAGAACCCCCAGTACAATGTGATAAAAATGGGATACAAACACACAGACTCACCAATAACCTTGCAACACTGTACAAATTACATGCAATTTCCAAACTGTTTTTAGAAGACCCTTACATTCAGCTCATTTCAGTTATTGAAATAGCCATTGAGGCCAATAGCCAACAACAGGCCAATTTTTCATGCAATAATCAAAGTTACCTTTTAAAGCCATATTTAAATTGTCAAGAATGCTGGGATTCAGCTTTCTCTACCTTGATCTCCACCTGGTAAGTGGTGACTACAGTTCCCAGAATTCCTCAGCCTTACAGGTTAAGACCATTGAGCTAGCAGTCTCTAATAATTTAAGAGGGATTGTGTGAAAAAATAGGCTATTTTGTCTGTCCTGGTTTCACAGCTGATGAGTTTCATATTTAGAGTCAAGTGAGCATAGGCTGATCAGGTACTGAAATCTCTGCATTCTTAGATTTATTTTAAACCTGTTTATATTGCTTGTCACATACTCGTATGTGTAAGCACACCCAGACAATGTAGAAGAATAAACTACATTAAATAAATCTATTAGGGCAAAATTACATTGCCCTAAAATTTCTTGACTGGGGTGAGTGCTTGGGATAATTTACAAGGAAAAAACAAATACCATATTTTCTCTTTTAGTTGGTGGGATCTTCACTGTTATCCAGACAAAAGCCAAGATTACACTGGATGAGTGGGGTGAGAATTACTTCCTGATTGGACCTTACCTAGAATTGAATGTGCGCACACAGGTGGAGCTGATAGAACCTCCCAACCCTGCCATTCGCCGAACCATTGACTCCATGAATACAAAAGGATGTAAAGTAAGAGACTGCAAGGATGGCGGTGTGTGTGTGTGTGTGTATATGTATAATGATATGTGGGAATGACCTTGAGACCTCTGCTGAATAATGGGTAGAGAAAGAAGCTTAGAAAGGAACCACCCTAACTTATCAGGCTGTAAAAAGAGACGGTGGGAGATTTGTACTTTCAGACTTGCAAGATTCTTTTAATGTACCCTAACAATGAAGTAGAATTAGTTCATCTTATCATGTTCCTGTCAGGTCTACCTGGGAGGCTGACATCAATCAGTTGCGGGCTCCTCTCCCTTTTATCTGATCCTTCCCTAGGCGGCATCTCTTCCCCTCGACTCTCAAGGTCATTCCCACATACCATTACAGGGGGAGAAAAAGGTATCTGGGATTTGGGCCTCGGTGGGCTTAATTCTCATAAACAATTCCTTGCCTCCATTTGGGGAGGAAGGTGTGTGATTCAGTGGCACACCTAGAACATTCAGTTCAGTTCATGGTAATTCTACTTTAAAAGGAATATCAGGTAGCTGGTGATGGGAAAAAGCTCTACTTTAGGCCTGGGCAGAAAGAATTTGCCAGTTAGCAGGGAGTGGAGATTGTTAACTTTGTCTCTGAGGAATCTACACACATACATACATCCAGCATGCTATTTCCTCTTGCAGTAACCAACAGTATGCAAAGCACAGAAAAGATGTGAACATTGTAAGCTGAAGAAATGAAGGCATTAAGCAAGAAATCTAGTTCATAACAACACCCTTCACTACATCTTTCTATTCTTGAAAACAGTCCTTTCCAACTCTGTGCATCCCTCACTTCATACACTGCCTTTTGTTCTTTAAACTTCTCACTTTCTCTTTTTGAGGACCTCATCAATTCCATCCAACAACAGCTTTCTTGGTCTTCCTCTCAATCCGCTCACTCCTCCTTCATATATTTGTTTAGCAATATGACCCTTACTCATTTCCTCTATCTGACTAAAGTACCTCAATGTATATTTTTCATAGTGGTTGCTCTCTTGTATTCGATCCATTCATTCAGCACTCATTGATTCCTGACTGTATTAAGCACCCCATTCCCATTACGCTGCATTTCTTCTGACATGTTCAGCTTTCACTTCCATATAAAACGTGGGCAGAAACCTACACTTATACACATCCATTTTATGTCTTTCAACAAGTATTCTCCTAAAAGACCATACACTATTTTTCAGCATTTGCACATCTTAAAATTTCTCTGTCCATTTCTTTATATTTAACAAACTTTGTGGACACAAATTCATCTATTTTTTTGCCATTTCTGAATAATTTACAATTGTTCATTCCATTTTTGCTGTCAAATACAAGTTACCTTAATTTCTGATGCATTATTTTCAGATCCATACTCCTTATTCCATCATATACTCTGTCTAATATTTGCTGGAAATCTTTTGTGCACACAAAAATGATCACATCCCCAAACTACACATCTAAAAATGACATTACAAGCATAAATGCATTAAACAATCAAGGGGATGTCACACATTCTTGTTTACTTCCTGTTTAGTGTTGAAACATTTGCTAAGAATTCCAGTTATTCCAGAGTTATAGCATTCAGCAGCCAACCTTCATATTTCTGCAAATTGTTCCTTCAAACCTATTTACTTTATCATATGCTCCTCTGAATCAAGAAATTCTCACCTTTTTTGCATGTCTCAATCATTTGCTGAAGAGCAGAAATCTGGTCTGCAAATCCCCACACTGCATTTCCCAATTTTTTTTCATTGTCACCTCTTGTACTTTTTAAATCACAATTCTGCCAAATACTTTCCCAGGCATATTTATCAACTTACCCCACAGTTTTTGTATTTACCTTGCTACTTTTCCCTTTGTATAGGAGAAGAGTAAAGGCATTCTTCCAATAATCAGGCAGTGATGCAGTCTTCATACTCATGATAAACAGGTCACACAGACACTCCATAGACAAACCCATCCATCTTTTGACTTTTCTCCAATTATACTGCAGTATCTACTCTTGCAGCCTTACCATCTTTCCATCTTCTCACAGCATCTTCTCAATCTTTCATCACAATGAATTCACCAGCCATGATTTTTTAAATTTTTATTCATTCTTTTGCCATTGGTACATATGAGTAAAGTTATGCTTAAACTATGTATTTTAAATGAACTGGCCTTTTTCTAAGCAGATACTCACCAAAGAATCATCTTTCTTATTCATTCTTTGGTCTGTGAATAGCTCCATCGTTTTGTATGCATTGTCTTATCTTGTCCCCACCCACATGTTAACATCATCTAACAGGATAATTTTTCCCCAGGATTCAGAATGAATGTTGTACAACTCAGTCCTGGTTTCTCCATTATCTCCGTTCACAGAAGCATAACATGCAACTATTACATATTTACACATTTCTACCTATACAGTATATGCACTCACAATGTATCTAAATTATCTAATGAGAGTAATTCATACTTTTTGATATACCTTTTAGCCCTTTCATTCATAATTAAACCTGAATTTTTACCTTTCTCCACATAGTGAACAACTTCACTCCCCAAGGGCAGAGCACATTTTATGCACATCTGTTACATCTTTCCCCTTTCTGTTAGTCTCGCAGGCATACAACTTATTCACTTTTCTTTTTGCATTTCATTATTTCATGCTTTTTACTATTTGCTGCTTTTACATTCCAAATTACAATTTTCCATAATCCCTGATCATCCTCAGATGGGCCCATGTATATTGATCTCCACCATCCACAAGGATTTGATCAATCCAGGCTTTCCGATAATACTTTTTAATAAGATAGCGAAGGTGTAGACCACATTTCTATGTCAGTCACGCGGTGCCACGGGTATCCTGCTTACAGTACTGTATAGAAACTCCTGATCAGTTTTGTCATATGTCGGCCAGTCTAACATAGAGACTCCCTGGTAGGCCAACATAGTGTTGCCTGTATTCCACCAACCAAGAGATCCTTGCAGTATATTGACACATACACACATCCTGAGATATTTTGAGCTTTCCGAGTGTCATAAAATCTCAGCAATCTCACCCTGAGTTCTTGTGAAGTCTTGCATGAGAATGCTGAAATTTGCAAGATTTCCACGATGTTTAAAATCACTATTTTCATTCAGTTTGGAAGGTCTATGGACACCTTTCGAGGTGCTACTGGAATTCCAGGTATCTACAGATACTGTGTAATAAATCGCACTGAGTGATATGAACATTTTGAAATAACTCTTCTAAGTTCATTTGTTCCTTTTTAAAATTAGTTTTCCTTTTTTTCCTTTGTACACTTTTGATACATTAAAAATTACTGGTCTTTATAGACAAGAAGACAAAAAGAAATGACTCTTAGCTAAATTAATTAAATGGGACCCCCATTAGTGGACAGTGCATACTAGAAATTAGGCCAGACTATGAGAGAGTTGGAAGCCCTGTCTGAAGACTTCTTAGAAGCATCAGTCTCCCCACAGCCAGCAAAAGTGCCTTGGTCCTTTGCAATAGGACCATGTTGCAATGGAACACCTACAACCTCTTGGAGAGAAGCTGTGGAGGTCACAATTACCCTGCCAGCTTTGCAGGACCAGGACTGTGGAGGTTCTGCCCAAGTGAAGGTACCCTGCAGAGATTTTAATCATCTTCTCCTTCAGTGTAAAAGGAATATTGCTCTGGAGTAGCAGGCCATAACCTTTTTTGGGTGACTCCAAAAGCTTCTGCCTGTCGGTGGGCAGAAGCTTTTGGATGAAGGATGAACATCGGGAGCAAGTTGGGGTTTCAACGGGAGAGGATTAGAAATAGACGTTAGTTGCCATTGAAGATCATTCTAACGCAAGGCATTTTTTTTTACTGGAGACTACTTTTTGTCTCATCAACTTCCAAACAGCTCTTGAAGATATGGCATGGAGATTTTTCCCCCCTGGCTCCTGAAAGGCTGCAAAAGATGTTTTTAGGGGATTTGCGATAGAGTTAAGGCAAAAATAAGTCTGTTGAGCTTAGTGGAAATCTCACACATCTTTGTTAACCTTTATTTCACTTTAGAAACGTTTGCTTTGCTGCCAGATTTTGGCAGCCTGATCTTCAGCTGTAGAATGAATCTTGGGACTTCATGCAGACAAAAGGCCAAAGGTTGCCAGTCCTATTTTAATCAGAGCTGACAAGGATTGAAGTTGGGACTTTGTGTGTGCAAAGGGAATGAGGGCTACAGCCTGCAAAGTTGCATTGCTGTGATGTAGCCCACAAGTGTGGGGAATATTTGCATCGGAAAGTATCTTCCTTCTGACCACAGGTGTAAAGGAAAGGGGAATCTGTGGTCTCCTAAAGTTGCTGAACTCCAGTTCTCAACCATGGCAGCCAGTATCACCACACGGATGAGAATGAGGGGAGTTGTGGTCCCACAATTGCTAAAGGACCCTGGGAACCTCATGTCTGCTTAAAAAAACTGCTGAGCAAAAGATTTGTACTGTGAGGTTTTCATGCCAGCTACAATATCTGTAAGCAAGTCTTGCCTGAAATACTTTAAAATATTAAGGTAATGTCCAGTACCTTCCCATTGTTTAACATCTACTGTCTTGCACGGTGTCATCTGTGTCCACGTTAATGATAACCTAGTATACCTGTCTGTCTTATCTCCATGAACTATTGAGAGGCATTGTACAAATGCAAGTAGCCACATTTGCTCTCATTCCCTTTTCACAAGGAGGTAAAACCAGTCAGACAGGAAAAACGTATTGGTGGGATTCACCCATCATTCTAATAGAGTTGGTTTGTTGATCTATAAAACCAACTTTCTGCTTGTTAAACCATGATTTATAGCTTAGACAAGCCCTCTTTAGTTTGTGATAAACTGTGGTTTGTTAAACAATGGCAGAACTGTGTGTAACCAGGGTGATGGTTTACAGCTCCCAAAGCTAGGATTATAAATCTGGCACAGATTTGTGTATTGTTCATCCAATTAGCCAGGAATTCTCGTTTATCTTTATATAATGTATAATGTAAGTACTGTTTCCAAATTGGGTACAACAACAAAGATACTATGATCAGCTCCCTTGATGAAGCCAGTGCTACATTGCCATCCAAAACAGGTACAAGCAAGCAGGAAAACATTGGTATAAGAACAAATTTAAGTGTATGCTGGAACCATTGAATACAGATATTAACTATTTCCACTATGAAATGTACATATAGGGTACATTCAAGTACCCCTTTCTTTTTACTTGATTTTTCTATTTTAGCCACCCATCCTAACCCCATTTTAGAGAAGGAGGTTATTTTGGGTTGTCCAGCAAAAAACAACACCTAGCAAGCGACCTTTTACAAAATAGAGATGAGGTAACATGAACCAGAAGCTAAAATTAGAGACGTACACACACTTGGTACACATAGCACTGCACACTTTGGCATGTGAAATGAGTGGAGAGGGGGTGATGATATAGTGAGTTAAAGAAGAGGCAGGTCTGAGAGATGAAGGAGAAAGAAAGTGTTCTGGGTTAAAATGGAGGTCACAATTTACAGGGTCCACTGGAAAGGAGGGGAATTTGAAGATTAAAAATAAGTTACTGGGCCATTTCATCAGATTTGGAGGTCTGCAAAATCTGAAATGCAGAAGTCATGATTCAAGCCACCTTGCATGCACAGATTACATATTAAATGTATATGTCAATGCAAGTTTATTCAGTAATTCGGTTGATAATCTAACGGTGTATAGTCTGGCCCTTCAAGCATTTCAACTTCCGCAGAAAAATAGGGAGCATATTTCTAGCACACAAAACAAAAGACAGGGAAATTTGAACCCGTAAATGGGTAGGGTTGAAAACTCAGATGATGTAAGATAGAATTATATATAGGACTTCCTTATATAGGATCTTCTTTCCTTATCATTCTATTCCTTGCTCCAAAACTTATCTTTTTTGCTGTATGCAGTCTGCCGATTCATCATTCCTTGGACTTTTTTTCCTTGAAATTGTAAAATGTGTGTTCTTTCAAGAATCTGAGAGACAAAATACATGTTCATCACTCTGAAACATAACATCATGAAGGTGGATATTATTAAGTTTGAGAAGAAACTTGTTTAATTGAGCACTGACCTTTACAAGCCATGCTTTGTTGGTTATGTTTTACAGAAGATCTCTGGATTAGATCAAGTGTCAATTCATGCCTCTCCTGTTCATTAATCTCCTGTCTCTGACTTTTATCTAGGTTTATTTTGGTCGCTGGCTGATTGAGGGGGGACCCTATGTGATTCTCATTGATATTGGGGCAACTGCCTGGAGCTTGGATCGCTGGAAGACTGAGTTGTGGGAAAGCTGTTCCATTGGGATTCCCTGGTATGACCGAGAGGCTAATGACGCTGTGCTCTTTGGCTTCCTCACAGCCTGGTTTCTAGGGGAGGTAAGGGAATATGTTTCTACCAGAAAGCTTCTGCTCTTCCTATCTCCCAACATACTTCTCTTCACTCTCTTCTTGTGGTTTTTGTGCAGTTTTCTGCACAATGTGAAGAAAAGCCATTCATCATTGGTCATTTCCACGAGTGGTTGGCTGGTGTTGGACTCTTCCTCTGTCGGATCCGGAAACTTCCAATAGCTACCATCTTCACCACCCACGCTACCCTGCTTGGCCGTTACCTGTGTGCTGGCAGTGTGGACTTCTACAACAACCTGCAGAATGTGAGTCTTCTAATGGCTAGGATTGAAAATTGACTGGTGGGTGGTGGGTGAAACTATGGGATCCAAGAACAAGGGGAAGAAATGGGAAGCTCTGACTTGTCCAGAATATCTCCTACTTTTGCCCTTTTACTGAGTGCTTTGGGCTGCTCCAGGGAATAGGAACTTTTCTTTCAGCTACCCTCAATTCTGTATCAGGAGACTCAAGTTCTAGTCTTCCCATCTCCCAAAGTTCCTGCACAAGAGGTAGCAATATAGCACCTTTGAAATTTCTTGCAGGTCTCCAGTGATTGCTCTGCAATTTAAATAGAGATAAAAAGCAGCTGCAGTCTCACGAGATTTTCTGTTCTTATATGAGATCAGAGTGCAAGATTTCAGAGTGATTTTATTTTTAACTGAGAGGGCAAATGATTGTCTGAGGTAGTGCCTGAAAAGGTTGCTGACCCTTATCTTAGTGGCTTTCCATTCAAGTCTTTGACACATAAATGAAGCAATTCTAGAAAATTGGAGCCATTTTTCCTTAAGGAGGCAGTGGTCAAAGAAATCACACTTACCCAGCCCTTAAGTAATATTTTTACTGCATGGAAAATGTGATTCAGTCCTCCTCCTCACCACGTTATGACACCTGTGGTGACTAGTGTTTTGGAAATACGTTTACTAGATTGTTTTGAATAGCTGTTGGACAGTACCTGTAACATTACTGGGGGATGAATACAGTAAAAAAGCCTTTTGATGTTCCATTGATTTATTTTCCTCAATGAGAATGATCTCATTTTCCAGAGATACAATTAGACATCTTCTCTCAACCAGGCTATACTGACTAGGGATGTTATCATCTTGACTGCTATTGCTCTAAATATGCCTACCAGATAGACTAGGGATGTTATCATCCCTAGTCTATCTGGTAGGCATATTTAGAGCAATAGCAGTCAAGATGTGAGGATGAAAATATGGGAAGAATAGTAATGAAATAGATGGAACTGGATTTAGGAGAGGAAACACTAGAAAAGCTATCCTCAATTTTTCTTTTTCTTTTATAATAATTTTTATTAAAGTTTAAAAATAAAAAGATAAAATAACTAATGCAAACTAAGAAAAATATAAAAAAGAAAAAAGAAAAAAGTGCAGAGAGGGGAAAAAAGGGGAGGAAAGGGGGAAAATATTTAAAAAAGAAAAAAGATTTCTAAAGAAATTACTTCCCCCTTCATCAAGACAAGTACAAACAATTTCAGTAACTTATCACCTTCTCTAACATTTCAGCCAAAAATTTCTTCATCCCATATCTCATCTTTTATCTATTAACAAATAATAAAGCAATCTTAATCAGCAAAAGTCTATTAAGAGTTACCAGAAATAACAATGTATATATTTTAAACTTAAACAAATAAATCAATTTCTATTTTCTTTACCTTACACAGTAACTTATCATTTTCTCTAAAAATACAACAAAAAATCTCATCTTCCCATGCCTTATCTCATATCAATAAACACATCTTTAAAGGCTTATCATTTTCTTAATCAAGAAAAATTCCATTAAGAGCTACCAGAAGCAACAACATATTGAAAATCTTGATTTTTAATCCCTTCAAATAGTGTCCCACAAGTTAATTTATCATTTTCTCTTCATGTCCTCTCAGAAACTCCTTCACAAGTTTAACACTTTAAAATACAACAAAAAAATCCTTTTCCCATATTTTATTTATAAACAAATCTTTAAAGCCTTGTCATTCAGTTCTGGTCAAGAAAAACCCATTAAAAGCTACTAGAAAAAACATCATATATATTTTAACGTTGATCAAATAAGTCAACTTTATATTCCTTCTTTTTACTTTTAAAAATCTTGATGTTTGTTCTTTTTAAGTAATGTCCCAAAAGCTGATTTCTTTTCATTTTCTCTTTATCTTTTCTCAGAAACTCCTTCATAAGTATAACACAATTCTTTTGTAAGTCCAAGATAAAAAAGTTGTCCAAGTCACTCTTCTCAGTTGAAATCCACACTTCCAGTTCACTCTTGTGATTTATTATTTGTGTGCCCCACTTAGCTATTAGAACATCAGCCAGTTTCATTTATAAGTCCTGTATAAGATCTTTGTCTATATCATTCTTGTAGCCTGTCATTTTTAAATCCATATCCAAAACAGCTTGATTCTCAGTTGTATTCCGTCTCCTCTCTTAAGCCCATTTTTATAGTAGCAGACAATCTTAAGAGAAAGTTCTGAGTACCTTGTTGTCAAGTATCCTTGAATTCTTCCAGAGTTAAAATATCTCCATTAAAATTTCTCCATTCTGTTTAGTGGGTCTCTTCTCCTTTAATTATAATCTTTAGTTCTTTCTGGTTATTTCTAGCGGCCAGTCTTCAAGGTCTCCTCTTACCATGTTTTTCTCTAATCCATAACATTTTCCACTGGAAAGATTTCTTACACATTGATTCAAAATCTTCATATATTTTTAATAGGATTTTAAACAACCCACAGGAAAGATTTTTATAAATAGTTTCAAAATCTTATTTCCAGTCAATCTGGCCCCAATAGTCTATTTGTAACTTTCCAAAATCAACTTTCTAATCACGCTTTTGCTGTTTTTTCAGAATATTTTTTTTAAGTTCTTAAACTTACATGAAACTTCTTTTGCTAAGGGTTGAAGGACAATTTCCCAGTGTAATAAAACTTGCCATTCTGAAGTTTCTTAATATCCAAAAAGCAGTTAACTAGCCATTTCCAGAAGCATTTAAGAGAGGAAGTGGGCAAACCCAGTATCTATTTGAAGGTGCCAAACCACAGCTTAAGCGAGATGACTTTGTCCCATCTCCCAGAGCTCTGAAACCTGCTGCTGTTTTACAACCTCTTTGCGGGGAGCACTTGCAAGTGATCCTGGTCCTCTCCTTTATCCAGAGAGGACTTCAGGGAGCTGATCCATTTACCTGCTCTTCTTTCCACTGCGGCTGTTGGCTCAGATCTCTGTGGAGCTGTCTTCAGTCTACCACTGCTTCCCTGGAAGTCCCTGTCCTCAGTTTTTCTCACACCCAGTCTAGGAACCCATTTGTTAGTACTTGTTAAGAAGATTGCAGAAGAGTTTCACAAAGAAAAATGTAGAGTTAAGTTCCTAGGATCTTGGAAATCAGACTACTGGATTGCAATGTCCTTTGTTTAACCTTCAAGATACTGCTGTAGTTCACTCCTAAACCTGTATTCTTTCCCTCTTTTATTCCTTGCAATTCTGAGTTTTGTAGGATGTTTAATGTACTTTGTCTTGTCCCACCTCAGTTTAATGTGGACAAAGAGGCCGGAGACCGGCAAATCTACCATCGTTATTGTATGGAGCGAGCTGCTGTCCACTGCACACATGTTTTTACCACAGTTTCTCAGATCACAGCTGTAGAAGCTGAACATCTGTTAAAACGGAAACCTGGTGAGTTGCCTTAAAAGCTAAAGGATTGCTGTGCATGACAATATCCCATCCAGTCTAAGTCTTAATATTAGAAGGAAATCAATTCCTTAGACAATACTAATTAGACTGTTGGTATAAATTCTATATTGCAGCTTAATGTTTAATCTCTGTCTCAGACTGAAAGAATGTCCCAATATAAAACAGTCGTTTTAAAATTCATTTAAAAAATTCTTAGAAGTATTTTTAATGTTACTATGCACTGTGGATTTTTTATTGCACCCAAAGATTTATTATTTTTTTTAAGAACCAGCCTGTTGGGGAAGTACACTCACCACCTTTTGTTCAGAATGAGAGAGGGATGTAGGGAAGGGAGAATTTCTATTCTTGTTTGCAGCCAAGAATAGTAGTTCTGACTGGCTGGCTCTCTGTGATGTCACAAGGCCACTCCCATTCTTTCTCCTTGGGTTTTGCTTTACCCCCTCCACTCCTATACGTTGAATCAATTGCTGTCGAATGCACTGGTCAATTGTAATTCCAAGGATGGCTGAGGAAACTGGGTGCAGCTGGGAAAACACCTGCTGTGACTCTTGTGTGTTTTTCACACATATCTTTGTGGCTTGGGTAGATTCAGAACCTTAAAGTACTAAAACTCCCTACTTTTTCAAAATCCTGTCTCCATATGCATTCCATATCCAGATATTGTGACTCCCAATGGTCTGAACGTCAAGAAGTTCTCTGCTATGCATGAATTCCAAAACCTCCATGCCCAGAGCAAAGCTCGTATCCAAGAGTTTGTCCGGGGCCATTTCTATGGGTGAGTTATCATGAGCCTCATTAGTGTTGTATAATTAAAATAGCTTGTCCTACGAAGTTGAGTTTCTAGGAAAAGACTGAAGCCAGTAGTGATAACTGATATAGGAAGAATATTCATGAATTAAAAGCAAGTGACTGCTCTTTGTTCATCTTCCATGATTTTGTTGTCATAGCACTCCTTCAAGGTGAGATGTGAAAGCTTAGGGCTCTTTCTTTTAAAAGAGGCAGGTGCACTCTTTCCATTGTTTTCTTGATGGTGTAAAATATGTAGAAGTGGGAGCTGCAAGACCATCTTGGCCAGAGACAAGAACATGCGACTCCGTTTTGGTCTCCACTCTTCTGGCTAAATGAGTTTCCTTTCTGTATGTGGAGAAAGAGATGCAACTTTGTCAGTGTACGAGAACAGAAAATGGGAGGAGGGAGTGAGCTCCCACAGGAAAGGCAGGATATAAATTAATGAAATAATAGGCAATAAATGATGTTAACAACATTCAAAGGGGAGTGGGGAAATGAGCAGATTTTTTACTCGAGGCTGGCAAAGTCAGAGAGTAAAGAAATTTTGCAGGATTCATAAGAGAGGAAAATCATTTGTTATTCATGAAGGATAAGTTTCTGAGTGGCTAAATAAGAAGAACTATTGCTTTCTTATCCAGGTTGCAGATGTCTGTACATTAAACCTCTGACATTTTTCCTGCCCTTTCTCCTTTTCTCTGTCCACTCTCCTTTCTGTTTTTATTGCACTGTAGCCCTGCAGACTGGGCTCCATCTCTTTTTGTTTTCCCCCATTTTTCATGAATAGCTTCCATGATGTCTGATGCTTAATAAATAATACCATCCTGATTGGAATCCAGGGAGCTATTAAGATTGTTTCAAAAAAAAGGATGTGTGCCAACTGTACAGAATGTATATGACTTTGTTTTCCTTCTAATGCTAGCTAATTGAACCCACATATATTTTGAAATAACCCCCCCCCCCACACACACACACTTCATTTTAAAAGAATTGATTTTGCTGCATGCTGATGGGGAGGACACACAACTATTTAGGGATAAGCAAAATTCACATTGATGCCATCCATTAAAAAGCATTTCCCAGCACTTTACTGGGCAGAGTGCACCATATTACCAGAAAAGTATGAACATCGAAGGATAACTGTATTCTGATTCATACAGATTTGGAAAGTGCAAATTTCATCCATTCACTTTAAAAACTGCACAAAACGTATTTTGATTCCCTCTCACTAGGTAGTAGAGTAACTTCTGTTGAACATAGTGGCACTTGCTTCTTGCCCTACCAACCCCGCTGGGTTCACTGAACTATTTCTGCCGTTCTTTGAATGGTGATATAAGCAGCATTACAATATTTCTAATGTATTAATGTGTCTTAAAAAGATTATTTAGCCTTTATCTGTCTTGGTTGTTAAATAACTTAGGCTTCTGATTTTTTAAGAATCTCTGACTTAGAGGCACCATCACCATCACCATGTCTTATTCTTCTAGGCATCTGGACTTCAATCTTGACAAAACTATTTTCTTCTTCATCGCTGGACGCTATGAATACTCCAACAAAGGAGCTGACATTTTCTTGGAAGCCCTAGCCAGGCTCAACTACCTGCTGAGGGTGATTAGTAAAATGCGGGCTATAATGGAACAAGTTGTGGGAGATGGTGGGTGGGCCATTAGATATGGTTATGTTGAGAGGGTGTGGCCGGCAGCAGTGCTAGGCCCCTGATTGGGGCTTTGGGCATTGCAATTTCTGATAAGCCTAACAGACTGACATATTTGAGGAGACTCCATAAGTCTATAGTGGCACAGGTCATTGTGCCTAAACACTGTGCATCTCAAGAGTTAAGGAACTGTTGCCCAAGGAATCTGGAGACTCTTTTTGGATTTCTATTCTTGTTTACTTTGTTGTGGAGATGAAAGATAATGGGAAGGGTGAGTACACAGGATGCCTTTGGATGAAAGTAGGAAGAATATATTGGAACTAACTCATATTACAAGCTGGCAGAAGTGGTAACTGAACCATTTTTCCAAGAATAGTCCATGAAAAGATACTTATAATAGACTGCCCCCAGTCAGACTGACATCTCCTAATCTGTCCAGCTGGGGTGTCCTTAGCCATTCTGCCAAGGACTTTTCCCTTCAACCCAGTCCTAGGAAAAACAGAAAGGAAGAGGGGATATGCTGCATTTCAGATCCAAATTAGGTGTAGGTGTTCATGCCATCCCTACTGCCACCTCCTTAAGGAAGCTGCATCCCTTCCTGGGGTTGTATGATAGCCTCATGATCCTTGGAGATCCAAGTAGCTCTTACAAGGACTTCCCAGGAACGTCCCTGATTCATCTGTCTATTCATCCAGTTTTCTTCATCCTTGCCAAGCATAGTCACTTTTTCTAGGCCATTGTCCACTTGCTTGCTTGGAACACGTGAGTGTCTGCTTTCTAACAAGCAGCTCAAGGAAGGAAGCCTCATGCTGTAAGACTAATGCAAATGACTCATGAGGAAATGGCCACATATCAAAAGGGAGAAAAAAAATATGAATTCTGAAAACAGATGAATTCAATTGACTAAGCTCTCTTAACACGGGTCAGCTTATCTATTGCTTCAGGGAGCACTTCTGACCATACTTAAAAGTAGTGATCTTTCATATCTGGTCTTTGGTGGCTTCTCTCTCTGTAGGTGAATGGAAGCCAGATTACAGTGGTAGCGTTTTTTATCATGCCAGCTAGGACAAACAATTTCAACGTGGAGACGCTAAAAGGCCAGGCCGTCCGCAAGCAGCTCTGGTGAGTTCTTCTCAGGAGTTCTGGATCTTACTAATAAGGCTGTGTAGTAAATGAAATAGAAATCCATCACACCAGCCTTCCTGATCAGGAAATTCAAACTGCCCATACAAGTTCAAACTGCATTTGGAAAGAATGTGCAGGTAGAAGGAAAATCATTCAAATGTCATAATTTCTTTTCTAACTATCTCTAAATGTCTAAAAACTCTAAATGTCATCGTTTGTTCTCTTTGTAATCCTGTTTTAGGAAAAATGGGGAAGTGTAGAATCATTTTCAGGCTTTGTTTAACATAAAGCTTATGATTTTGGCCCAATCGCTCTTACTCAGTCCAACCTGCCTCAGAGGGTGAATGTTATGGGGATAAAGCTGGTGGGTGAGAGAGACCCCACTGTAAATTGCTGTGAGATTTCTCAGGAAAGGCGAGATAAAAATGCACCACGTACTAATGAAAGGTTCCCATAATTCTCACCCAGTTTGGCCTTCAGCTGTGAAGGCTAGGAGTTATGGCAGTCAAAGGCCAATCTATCCCAAGGGCCTCAGAACAGGGAAGGTTGCTCCATACCTGAAAAAATACTAATATTGAGATAGTCTTCCTCTTTTCTCCAATCTGCTAGATCTCCCTTAACTCTCTCTGGGAAGAAAATCCAAAAGTCCTTGGAAGCCATTGTCCTTAATCCTTGATTCAGAAGCATTTGAGGAATCCTAGGTTCTGATGCAAATCATAATTTCTTCCTCCCTTCCCCATCCCCCTCCCTTTTTTTAAATTCTAGGGACACAGCCAATGCAGTGAAAGAGAAGTTTGGCAAAAAACTGTACGAATCCCTCCTTGTGTAAGTCTCCTAGGAGAAGGCGAGAAGAAATGTGATAAAGTACTGAGCATCTGGGAATGGGCTGCTGGGTTGCCATGGCTACAGTGGATGGGAACTTAAAGACCTTCTCCTTCTCTTTGCCTTTTATGTTCTGAGAAATATTAATACTGATATAAGCCTATCTCAGAAATCTTAGCTCTGATATAAAACTAGAATATGCATCCAAGTGAAAAGCAGTAAATGTTATTCATATATTTCCCCATTAATCATTCTGTGCCTACTCTTCTAACTCAGGGGGAACCTTCCTGACATGAACAAAATGTTGGACAAAGAAGATTTCACAATGATGAAGAGAGCCATCTTTGCCACTCAGGTATTCGGACATGAGGAAAATGAGTATTGAAGAAGTTTGGTCAAAGTGTCTATATATGAAAGTTGGGTTGCAGTTAGGCTGAGGGTCTCTTAGAAGGACATACGGCTAGATGAGTAGGAGCAGAGGATTCTGGGAGCCTGGATCCAAAAGCCTTACTCTCATTCAGCCCTCCCCAACCAGGCAGACTGCATACAGTTTCTTCACTCAGAAAACGTGTAAATATGAGAGAGAGGGAGAGGGAGGGAGAGAGAGATTATCTTTAAATGTAAAGAGATTCCTTCAGGTAACCATAATATATTGTCCTGCCAACTTTACAAAGGAGGAGAAGCAGGGAAAACATAGAAGCAGTCTTGGGTTCAGTTTAACGTGGATTACAAGCTTTGCTTCTCTTCCAGACTTAAGGTTTTAAGCCTGAGCTCTTAACATCTGTCTGGATTTTTCTCTCCTCTTCAATCAGCGCCATTCTTTCCCCCCAATCTGTACTCACAACATGCTGGACGATTCTACCGACCCCATTCTCAACACCATTCGGCGCATCGGCCTCTTCAACAGCAGTGCTGACCGTGTCAAGGTGAGCGATGGACGCTGCCCTTGCCCACCTGGGGAGATATTTGGGCGGGATATTTGCAGCCTCTTGAAAAGCTAGCATTTTTAAGACGATGCTGGAAATTATAATACTTGGAGGCTGATTTTATCAGGATAATTTTTCTCTGTTTAACAGTCCTGTTTGTGTTTTATTTTTTCTCGGGAATCTGGAAGTTCAGGTTTTTAATACTCCAAAATGATTGAGGGAAAGAATGCTGGTTTGAAATCGTTTCTGAATTCCCTATGCTGGTATTATTTGAATTCACGTTCTTTTCTTTTAGTCTCAGTGTCTATACACATCGTGACCAATAATAGGAATTGTAGTGGATGCCATTTAGATATATGTCCAATGTGTTTTAAACGTTTTATTGTATTTGTGGGTATATGGCCATATTTTACTATTTTTTTATTGTTGCCATTATATCTTTTTTTCTTTTTACCGTTTTGTTCCTAAAACAAAGTTAGTTATCTGTTTATCATGGAAACTTTGTATTTTTAGTTTGCTTTTTAACAGCTTCTTTTCATGGAATGTATTATTTAAAAAGGATCCTTTTTGATCATAATTTCCTACAAACCCATCAGTTGCATGCTAGTGCCATAAACTTTAATCAGCTATATTACACATCCATAAGGATACACATGGATCAAATGCAATATATATTTTTAAGGATGGCTCTGCCTGCAGGAGCAGGAGTGCTGTAGGTTACCAAACTTGTCATCACTATACAGTGGTACCTCGGGTTACGAACGCCTCTGTTAACGAACTTTTCGGGTTACGACCA